TATATTTTCTATTACTTTTTCTCGTGTACTTTAAGTTGTATAAGGAAAATGTTTGCCTATGAAATTTATATGTTATCGAAAGTCACTTTTCGACGCGATAAGCTTTTTCGCTGGCGTAAGCTGGCGTATATTATAATAATATATTTGTTGTAAACGTGATTATATCTTCAAACGATAAAATAATAAATCATCGCAAAGTACGATATTAATAAAAAGGTCTGCGATGCTTACATATATTTCTGTTCAGAAGCTTTTTGGGACTCGGGGACCATTTTCTTTCATTTCAAGTTCTTGCATAAATCTTATTTAACGGTTAATCAATTTCGTATATGTAAATAAAACGTAATTTAGTTAAAGGTTGAAAGCTTTTTTATTTAAGTACGAGATGGGTACGGAAGTATATATTATTAACATTGTTTTAAAACTATAATTATTTGATCGATGCGATAACAAATAAATGAGTTTAGACAACACAATATATTTATAAAGTTAGGTCAGGAGTTCCATCTTTGGATTTGCTCTGAAATTGATGATATATATCTGTGTGCAAACCCAAAAACATGTGGTATCTACCATCTCGGCTTTGAGTCTCAGCTGGTGCTGAGGTGTCTGCGAAGGAGCTGATAGTCGTTTCCGTAAACCTACGGTATACATTATAATCTCATACACCACGTTACTTACACGCCATCCAAAAGGTGTGCAAAACTCCAAAAGCACATCTCTAAAAGTATAACGTATTCACAAAAAGCGCTAAGCTTTATTCGTCTAACGGCCTACCTCGGCGAGGCCGTGACCTCGAAATTTATTATAACCGAAAAAAAGTACAGCTTGTTATTGCACCCATCCATCATCAGCCGTCATCAACATACAACCCCCCCCAAACCACACCCCGCCGCAGAATTAAAGGCCCTTTTGAAATTATATCGTTGCCTTTATTGACGGTATATGAATACGTTTGTATTTCGGTATAATGATATGTATTCCACCGCGTAATTATACCAAAGCACATTACAATACGTACTTTGCTGGTTGCGTACTCATTAGTGTTTGAATTGCCTGCAATATTAAAGTAAGATTAAATAATGTTTTATTTTTATGTTTAGTAATCAGTCTTATATATGTTTTTGTGTGGCTTATAGTAGTAGTATATAAATTTATTTCTCTCTCTCTCTCTCTCTCATATTTCTCTCTAAAAGGCATATTGGTCACGTTAAATATGAATACGGAATAAGTGGATATTTGATAACTTTAAAATTTTTCACATATTATTATTATTAGCATATGGTGGCATTATATTAATTAACAATCTATTTACTGTGAAAAAAATAACACGGACGGGATTTGAACCGGTATTCACAGCTTTTCGTGTTACTGATCTAACCAATTGACAATGATAGGACACGGTAGCTCAATCTGTGGCTCAGGCTGCCCATATCTTAATTTTTGTCACTCTACGTGAATTTTTAATTTATAGGAAAATATACTTTCATGGATAATTTAATAATTTACAGCTTCCATCAAAAATCAATTTCAATTAAAATTCTTAACTCTCTGATCGCACGCGTTTTATAATCTGTATTTCAATAACAGAGGGATTTTGTCACAAAAGCGTAGACCTGAGTCACGAATTGTTATATCTTTACCAACTTTATTAATAGAATTGTTTATTTTATCCCTAAATGTATTAAATATGCAAACCAACGCCCTTCTAATTGTGTTAGCTTAACAGAAATTTGTTGAATATTAAAATTCGCTTGGACTATCTCAATGGGTATGTAGGATCATAATCATCATTAGATAGGATACAGGAGTGCGATAATATTAAATAAGGCTGCTAGAGGCAGAGTGGCCTAATAACATAAAAACATGATTTTGAATAAGTAGGATAATAAAAATGCGCAATTAACTTAGGCGAAATGAATTTGTACTACTATTTGTGAAAAATTATGCTAACAATTTTCGGTCAGGTCTTGGAGGGTAACATTTTTAGAGTATGAAAATATAAATATGTCAAGTCATAAAATTGCAGCTAGACACTCTTGACCTTATGCCATTGGCTATTCGAAAATCCACGGAAACCGAAAAAGATTAAACTTTACAGCTTTTTTATTCGATTCTACCCCTTTTTTAATACATAGATTTCGAGACGAAATCTAACATGTTCAGGAAGATTATAAATTGATTAAAAACATCTTGGACCCGGTGGGAATAAACCCACATCCCGCTGAGTATACGTACAGTACTACCATTAGATAAACGAGTGAACTTTAAAGAAAAAATATTAAAAAATACTATGAATAGTATTGTATTAAATATACATAAGAATGAAAAAGTAAAGTGATACGTACTACGTAAAATATGAATTGTAGCCAAAGCTCCGAGGTTGTTGCCCCCGCCGGGCGCGGGTCGTTGAGAAATTAATCGGCGTTAGCCTTCCCTTGATAAATGATATTGTAATATCATCCCACTTAACACTTTAAAATTGTCGTTATCACGTTCCTGATAAATGCTAGATACACGTCTTCCGACAGAAAAAGACCTTTTTCATTAATTAAAAAACTTCGTAATTATAGCACTTTAGACTTTACACTAGCGAATCTATTGTTAAGTATTGTCTGTAGATTATGTGAGTAATACACATTTAAATAAAACTCTTTAACGGTTTAAAACGTGATATATATTCATCAAACGTTTCGGATGCTTTGCAGCAGCCGTGGTCACGGGGGACATCTAGGGAAGTATTATGGTTCTTATACTTAACGAATCTATTATTGAGTATTATGTGTTGTTTACGGGAGTAGTACACATCATAAGTATATTTAATATATAATACTTTCAACTGTTTAAAACACGAAATTAACGATAAGTTTACTTATTTATTTTGCGATAAAGTTTTTTATATGAATCTATTGTGAGAAAACTAGCAATGTTTTTAATATATTTTTCTCTTTATCCCCGTTTAATAAATAAACAAAAATTAGATTACAACCATAGTCTTACTTTACTTTACGCAAGAATCAGTACATATAGACAGTAATGTATCTGCCCCATGCCCCTATGGAGCTACAGTTGAGAATTTTTATATTATTCAAATGAAACACTTTTAACGGTCTATAACGCGAAAGTATTAGATTATTTACATATAATTTGAACTACGGCCCTTCATTATAATGTTTTGCAGCCCTGGTCATGGTGGTTTAATTTGTTGCCTGATCAAAGCTATATATGAGGCCGATAGAGGCAGAGTTGCCTAACTGCAATTTTATGCCTTGAGTTATTTGTACTTTCACAGTCTAAAAATATTAATATACAAGAGCACAGTGACCGAAAATTGTCAACATAACTCTTACTCAAATAATAGTACACAATTCATTTTCGTTAATTGCGCAGTTTTATTTTCCTCTAATTCAAAAACATGTTTTTTATTATTAGGCCGCTCTGCCTCTAGCAGCCTCTGATCTCTTTGTGTCTTTTTAACATAATGGATTTTGGCACAGTTCTTGGTAGGTACAATACTCCCCTCATTTCGAGCGGCTGAAATGTTCGCAGGAAGTACTTTATTACGTCACCTCCATTGCCGCTGAAACACAGCGGCTCGTCTGAATTGGCGACAACACGCACAGTATGAGTATTGGCTGCGTCCCAATTCCAGCATGAATGCACTTTTATCGCCCCCCGCGTGACAATTTAGTGCCAAAGTCCACACGAAACGACCTCGGCACCATGAATGAATCGCCGGACATACCTGAAAACTCTCGTAACTTTTTTCTGGCCTCGGGTGGTCAAAATATGGGTCGAATAACTTTTGTCGAACATATGTAAATAAAAAGCTTTAACTGCTTAAAATGTGAAATATATTATTTGACTTATTCTGTTTACGACTACACTAGCGGCCCCCATGACCATGGTTTAAGTTACTAAGTTTAGTATTTTTAAAGGGATAAGAATAATTAAAACTCAATATGCCTTCCAAGAAAAGACAACATTCTTCAGCCATAGGTCAAACTCTAAACCTGAAAGTTGTTTAGAATCTAACAAAACAACACTTACATGACCTATTTGGTCATGTAGGTGTTTTGTAGATTTGTATTTGCTTAAAACGACGGATACATACCAAAACCGCCCAACTACTAAGTTGCTCTATAATAAGTTATTAGCCACTGAATTGTGATATCGGAGTTTTATCTGTTTACACGTTAAAAATATAATTTAATTGAAGCGTGCCGTATCTTGTCCGAATGCTCCAATTCCAAATTGAAGTATCGTACGTAAATATTATTCGTTTCTACAATACGCTTTCATTACGTAAACACAAGTATGAATAGCGATGAGATGCAAACTGTGTATTAAGACGTCATACCTTTTATACAAGTTTACTTAACCTATTATCCCATGGACATGCCTTATGACTGAGGCGTTGGGCGTCCACAGTAATTCTTACTAACGATAGTGTTTTATATTAAGGGAAATATTTGATAGATGAATCCTTTTATAGTTGTGTCATCGATTAAAATAACTCTATTTTTTAGGAAACGGATTAAACCTAAAAAAATGTTTTCCATTTAAGTGCAAAGATTTGATAAAAATCTATTATCAAATCTTTGCCCTTAGCTCTTAGCTTTTTAAATTTCTTACGATTAATTAAGTTTGCAAAACGTATCATGTTAGCTTTGAATCCTTCGATATTAGAATTTTCGTTTGTGTAATTTCTATATATTATTCGTCGATATACAACTACTTATTCGACCGTGACCCACAAATGGGGATTAAGTTTAAAATCGATTATCCCCGGAAAATCTCTGAAAACCCCACGTATTCAATTAAGCTCGCTTTTCCGACCAAGAACTGAATAGTTGTATAATTGTTTAGCCGCTTAGAAATCGCTTTTCTGTTTGGGTAACTCGCTTCCCGCGATTACGTAAAGAATAGCATAATATAATCTAAGTTTTATGTTTTTCAAGTTATGGACGAAGTTTGAAGTGATGTATGTTTTGTTTCAGAGATGTTTCACACAACAACATCAGTGTTTTGCCTTCAGATGCGTTACTTCTTGCCACAGGACTTCGTGACCTGTAAGTTTTAATCTCATTTTACTTTTAAAATTTTGACGGCCTAGTTGGTGTACAATGGTAGCACTATACTCAAGAATTTTGGATTCGATTTCCACCATGTCTAGCAAATTTTAAAAATAAATTTTTAGTTTTTCTGACACATGTACTTCATATTAAATAGGTGTATCAATTTGTACCAAGACGGAATTAATATTTTATTTCGTCTGGGTCACAAACCAATGTCCACAGCTAAGCTGGAAAAAGAAGGTGAACATCACGTAAATCCCTTTTTGTGTTATATTAAGATAATATTTTTTCTAAGTCACGAAGTAAATTTTTTTAACTCCTAGTATAGTCCCCGTATATTGGTCTGTTCAACACTCGTCAAAAGTCAAAAGTAATAATTTAATAGTGGATACGCGATGGCACTCATCGCAGACTGCACCAGCGAGTTTCGCGACATAATGCCTTACTTAAAACTGGTTTTATGCACTTAAGATTCCATTTAGGTTTGGAAGATAAAAATGGAAAAAATCCTGCCGAAAACAGAAAGTGTTTAATTAGAATATCAAGTGTTTTTACTGTATGAATCTCAATGCGTGGCATATAGTTGAAAGTTACCTCGATTTATTTTACGATTCAAAAACGATATTCATTTAGGTTTTAATGAAATAATTCGTGCGAATTTGTCGAGTCTTTTCCGATTAGTTTTCCTACTATCGCTGCCTGTGACAGCTATTAACGCCAAGTCAAAATCCACATGAATATTGACCAATATAAACGACGATCGTGCTCTGAATACCACTGAATATGAATCGCGGTGACGTCATAGCCAAAGTGGAGAAAGTGGGGGGGAAGGGGCGTCAATAAAGAATTAAAGTGTTACGTTATTTTGACATTTAAATATTGAAAATTTGTAAACATTTTTCTTGTAGATCAAACGTTCAACGCTCTTTACGTTTTAAGTTTTGACACAGAAAATGTTTTAAAACATACATTTCTTTAAAGCCGCGCTTTTATCTTATTTCATTTCTCAATTTGTACGAAACACACTTAAGATATCATTTAAAGTGGAAAGTAATATTAGCTTTGCCGTCATGAGCCAGCCGCGCGAAAATACCAACCTAAAATATTAAAGCTTTATTATTATTTACTGTATGCTAATGTTCTCAGACTCCTACAAACCTTAACTATTTAATATTTCTATTCAAGAACAGAATAGAAATGACACAAATTAAAAATAAATACCGCCTCCTGCCTTACGCGTTGAGCAGTTCAAATTGACAATAGTTCTGAACAATTTTGGTGTTTTAGGAACCTGTCTGCGAATCGTTTGGAGCGGATCGCGGCGGATGCGCTTAACGGAGCGGCTCTTGCCCGACTCTGGCTTGACCGCTGCATGTTGCTGCAACTCCCTCCAGCGAAGTTGCCGCGGCTGCACTATCTGTAAATATGCCTTCAATATAATATTAGTGTTCAGACATATAGAAAGTGCTGATTGCGGTTGGAACTGGCGGTCGTATTATTATCCCCTTATTTTGTTTATAAAGTAAAGACAAACATGACGTTCACTTCATAAGAGAAGCAATACTCCAGCCATATATCATCTAATGAAGATGCGCTCGACCTATTTATAGCTTTGGACATTTACTTTTTATACATGCGATGTACGAGATAAAGCTTTACATTGTTACCATTACACCAACGAGCCCGACTAAAAACGATCATATCATCTGCGAAATTTAAAATTTCTATTATTGCTATTTAAGAGATCCACCTTGGTGTCAAACGGCCCCATAGACAACGGAATTCAGGCTTACCCTTTTCTCTCTAAGTAAAATGCGTCTATGTTAACCTTTCCCCTTGCCACCTTGCTAGAATATCAAAACGTTATTATTGAGGTAATCCCAACACTAGCTGAATTCCAATATTATTGAGATTAGTAACAACTGGCAACACATGGTTATTTTGGCAAAATCACGTCGCAAATTCAAACGAAGGTCGCGGTACGTATACACAATTTGATATTGAGATTCAGTTGCTTAACATTTGATTCCATTAAACGTTTAAAAATAAAGTATTGCGACTATAGATTATGTGTTGCGGTTGTAATGTTATTAGATTTGATACAGAGATATCATTTTTTTAAATACTAAATCAGTTAGTTATAAAACCACAATAAATAAATAATGTTTCAATGATTATGTAAGCAAAGGAATTATTATTTACACAAAAAGTATTTTTAATTAAGTTAGTTCTGGGATCTTATGTGTTGTGCCTTACATATAGATAGGCAGAGTAAAATTTGCAAGACTCGCGCGCAAGTTTTATCAAACACCATTCAAGTACAAGTGTAATTAAATTACAAGTTTATTACTTGTAAAGCTCTGTTATGATCCATAAAAAAGCTTTCGCTGTTTGAGCGCGCTAATAAAACTCAAACCGCAAATAAATATAATGAAGAACCAGAAAACGTCTTTTAACGTAAACAATATTCCGATAATAATAGTGATATATTTATCGCCCTTATAATTCTCAACAGATTTCCTCATAACTCCGCAGCACTGATTAATGTCGGTTTTAATAAACAGTTGGATATATCTGGGCGCCACACGTGCTTCAGATCATTTTTTGTTTATTTTATTGCGGTCTGAAACAGTTCAATTCTAATTTTATTTCAGTTCGTTCACCTCGCGCTGCGATTTGTGATTGCATCATTAAATATTGGTTTTGTTCTTTATCGTCTTGGATTACGATCGTGAATCTTCAGGATTTCATTTAGGATTCACTATTTTATTTTCGTCTCCATTCACTGTTTGAAATACTAGTTAGTAGTTTATTTTCACTCATGGATGGAACTTGTGAATGAATTAATGTTTCATAGTTGCTATAATAAGTCTTATACTAGCTAAAAGTGATTTTGTCAAATCTCAATAGATAGACACATACACGGACATTTTTTAGATCATTAGTTTAGGAGTAATAATTATTTCGTAGCGCAACGTATATATTTTAAGATGAATAATTTTCTTAGATTTTTCTAATTCTTCGCTCCTATGGCGGGTTAGGTTAGGTTAGGTTCTGTTCTGCTTTATGGTATTACTTATATATATCGTACGTTTATTGATCGATGGTATTTTCGTAGTAACGTTCTATAAACTAGGTAATTACCTAACTCAACGTTTTCATTTAAAAACGCTTAATAGGTTAGCGCTTTGTGTGAAAGCGGAAACACCTGGCTTATCCAGGGAAATGAAAAATAGGGCCAAGAACAGACATCTGGTCGACATCCCTGTAGGTAAACTTGCGGAATGGGTACAGATATGTGTCTGCTGTGCACACGTAGGGATCTACAGATTTAGGTTAAAGATATTAACTACTAAGAAGTAAAGTTAATTCTTACTTTCGACCAATAGCTGCTGAAACGTGTCTTATACTACGGTTCACAAAATTCGTCTTAAGCCGTTTAAAAGCGTATTATTTTGTTTTCACTACCGTAAAACTATACGGATTATAAAGTAAACAATACAGGGAGTTTAGCTGTTTGATAAATACAAGTCTGAGCCAAATTTCCAATGCACCATAGTATCTGTCTCCCGTATTATCCTGTTCCGTCGAGACGTCGGGGCGTTGAAAAAATCTCCCAATATGTGGAGGTCGTTAACTTTACCTACAGCTCTTCTACACAAGACATATCACGAATCTGTTCGACGTGAAACCGATGGCTTAATGAAAAATGTTCAATGAGATATGAGTCTAGCTTTCTGCAATAAAAGCTATTTTTATTTTCTTATTGACTACTATAAGTTCGTTGAACATATATATAAAAGGGTTTTAATCAAAGGAATTAGTTGACTATATTAGCTGTCAGTTAAATTAAATAAAACGAGTATAGGTGTTATATTTTACTTTAACTTTTTTATAAGTTAGTTGATGAAAGATGAGTAATTTTTACAGCAATTTCTTTCATATAAGTAGATGCGTATGCAGTATAGATTATTTCATTTATTAACAATTGAGAAATTAAGCATTGTCTGTAGGTAATTTACGCGAGCTGTGCACATTTAAATAAGACACTTTGAACGGTTCAAAACACGAAATAACACGGTTCCAAAATGACAGTTAACAAGTTAACCAACTTTATTAATATATTTAACTGATAAAGTGTATTTATAGTAAGTTAGTTTATGGAACTATCAACGGAAGATAATTCAATGATTCAATTAATTAGACACAACGAGAAACGATAAAAGGAAATGGAAGTAAACACGACATTAAATCTCTGCCCGAAGTGATTGCAAATATTGGTTTTGTTTCGCAAATACAACAAAAAAGTGCTTTGGGATAACTTATTGTTTCTTCGCGAAAGTTATGAATTAGTTTGGCGAGCACGACATAAATATTAATATAACGTTAGGGTAGATGGTCAGGGTTATGCGACACTTTGTCGTAGAGTTTTAAATGTATTACAATTTCGATCCTAAATTAACAATTATTATATATAAACAAAAACGCGTTAATAACCCGTTACCTCGCATCACGTAAAAAGCTGAGATCTTAAGTTTGAATCCCAGGGAAACTATAATGGTCGGGCATGGCATCAATCTAATCAACTCGCCTGTAAATATAATCGATCATTGAAACGGACATAGATGTGCCCCATGCCCCACGGGAAAGCGCGATTCACACAAATCAAGATTGATATCTAACTTCGATTGATTCATATGTATAACGTTTTTTATGATTGTTATAGAATTGCAGAAATAGTTTTATTAGGTAAAGATAAGATTTAGATTGTAGACTAATGTTGGAATCATAAGTACATATATATAAAAAACTATTAAAGCATTCACGCAAATAACTTGGAAAATTGCATTGCATTTAGGTGTACTGTAGATAGAGCAAACCATTGTTTAAGGTATATATATGTGTTCGGATTTAAATAATAATATTTGAGGGTAGTTTCGTTTTTGATGCTACATCGTGACCTCATTCACAGCGCGCTGTCTGACGCTTTTGGGTGTCACTCGTGCGAGCTGGTTGAGCACCATTTTTTATTTTTATTTGTGGCTGTCAATCGAGTTAAAACGCCCGCATGTTGAAGAGACTACTAGGTTTTGATATAATAATTTCCGCGAGTTCAATGCGTTTATAAAGTAATTTTCGTAAAGCCAGTGTGGTGGCGAAGTTAATACCCCCTTGGCGTTTCATATTATTATATTCATCCTCTTATTCCAATCAGACTGACACGCCACAATAATAGTATACATAAAGTTAACCACTGCATTGGAGGTATGTACTTAGAGTATTAACTTAAATTTAGTTAATAGAATAATACATTAGTTAAATATCCAAAGCCAAAATTGGCCGACAACGCCATCTTGTTTATGACTGGGGTATTTCATCTCACATCAATGAGGGTCAGTCCTCTAAAAAAGTGAAATCCCAGTTTCCCCCGTCGGGATGGGGCAAACATATTTATGTGTCCGTTTCAATTATCGGTTTAATTCACAGGAAAGTATTTAATTAGACTTCTATCTCCTGCCCGACAGAAGCAATCTATCGTTTCCCAGGTTCAAACACAGGGCCTGTCGCGCTTATCGCAATGGTAGGCAACACGTTTAACCTTTACGCTACAGAGGCGGTCTTTGTTATACAATATATACAATATGCTTATTGACATTTTCCATTGAAATCTTTGTATCTCAAACAAACTTTATAACGATAGCTTAATCAGATCGAGAGTGAGAAAGCAGCGATTCCTCTTAATCATAGGCCTCGATAAATGGCGTAATCCCACATAAGACCGCGATTAATTCAGTCCAACCGCTTCATAGATTGGGGCGTGACGAGGGTCGCCCTCACTTCACACGCTATCCTCGGGCTAAAACTTATCTTTGCGTATTATTATAGGAATAAAGGCTGTTCTCAGTATGTTTTCCCTCTACGCACTAAGATATGTACGACGCTCGTTCATTATCAGATAAACTTAATACGTTTTTTTTAACATACACACACATAAGCTACACATCTTTGCCAGCCAAACAGACAAAAAATTTCAAATCTCTTCAAATAACACACACAATAGGAGAAAATGCGAACTGTATTCATTAAATATATTTATAAGTAATTTTAACTACGGCGACGACGGTAATTTAAACCGTTAATAGTGTTTTATTTAAATGTGCATTACTCGCGTAAACTATGACTTTAGACTTTAAGCCCAAGTCACAAAACAAATATAGTATTTCCATGATTTATACACACACTTAGATCTTATTAGGTATTGAATTAATCAAATCAAAAGTAGGTGCCTGGCCCATCCTGTGCATCTAAATTGGAGTCCATCACGCTGCAGTTTAAATAAATCTATGACGTCACCGCGTGCGAATAATTCGCGTCAAACATTCGCACGATTTCGCAAAGCAATGCTTAGATAAATGAGAGCGAATTGTAACAGACCTGTTTCGAGCAAGTATTTCGATCTAGTTCTTGTACGTACCGATCTCGTGTGTGTTCTAGTTGCGTATTTCTTGAAATTTTAGAGTAATTGCTTTAAATAAATCACTTTTAACGGTTTAAAACGTAAAATGTATTAGTCAAACTGAAACCACGGCTGTTGCAAAACATCCGGATGTCGGGCAGTAGTAAAAATATTGTAAATATGTTTAATTCATGTATTTCGCGAATTAAATCGTTAAGTGTTTTATTAAAATGTTTACTTCTCGCGTAAACTACGGACAGTACCCAATTTTACTTTCTAAGTATGTTAGTTGTGGTAATTTATTCAGTCTTAATCTTTTCATAGATTGGATAACGATACTATTGTAAGAAGTTAATTATTAAAGTCTATTATTATACCTTAAAGGTTATATCCTCCTCCGCAGGTTAATAGTTAAACAAAGCTATCAAAATTTAAACTGCTGGAGGCAGAGTGGCCTAATAACAAAAAACATGATTAGGAGGAAAATAAAATTGCGCAATTTAGGTGTAAATGAATTCGTATTATTATTTGTGTAAGAAATATGTTAACAATTTTCGGTCACTGTGCTTTGTAGATTAACATTTTTAGACTATAAAAACATAAATAAGCCAAGTCATAAAATTGCAGTTAGGCCACTCCGCCTCTAGCGGCCTCAATTATCCTTTAAAGTGTACAGACGTTTCACCGAATTTCACCCGTTCGACGCTAGAAAGGTCTAACGCTGTATGCACACGATCTTAAGCTCGAGTCACAGACCTCAGGACCTTGACATGTGTCCCGCCGTCCCTCGCCCGTTAGAGCTGACATCTTGACTGACGCGAAGGCCGACGGCATCTACTTGCTGATTGATTAATGATCCTAAATATAGGCGTATTTTTTTACTAACGATGATTATTATATTACAGACAAAGTCCAATCTCTTAATGTAACTGAGCTTAAACTAAACTATAACATAAGATTAAATACCTGCGATCTTCTCGGTCGAATCCTTTTTTTTATTAGCTAGTGTACAACAGATAAACATGAATTTCACGCGAAGGGAAATACTTCAGCCATATAACATCTAAACAAAATGCCCTGTCGGCCATTTTGGATGTTCAGAAAATCACACAGTCGGACTGAAACGCGATTAAACTTCACGGCTTTCTAATTTATTTTTTTACCTATGTATCATTGTCTTTCAAATCGGGCTGTTCGGCCGATGTGAGCGAAAAGAGGTTCTTGACGTTTCGCCATCACGTATGGACGGCATCATCAGGAGATGTTAACGCCTCGATAGCTCGAAGAATCATGATTCATAATTCTGCGAGCGATCGAGGACAACAAACCGAAAGACAATGATACTGGCTGAAACTTACAATTTATTAATTTTCACCTATTCGTATTTCCAGACGAAGAAGTCCACCATTTTCATGACCCGGTGGGAACCGAAGCCACATCGGATGATTATTATTGGCTATACATTGCTACCAACGGGCTTGTGTTGTTGTGATTTACTTAAAACTAGGTGGTCCGTATAACTGAGCAATCACGAAAATAGTTTAAAATTCTAGCTTGTATTGTAAATTTGCTTAGTAGTATACTGTTAGTATTTATAAAGCGACAAAACGCTAGATAAGAAATACAATAACCGCACTTTTTGTACCCAGAATACATAGAAAAAAACTTTTTTTATATTTCATATACAGATTTTCAGATCTGACGGAAGTTCATATATTCACAATAAAATGGGACAAAAAATAGCGATTGACTAGTAATGATAATTTTTGTTTAGAATTCAAATAGTACTTCCCATTTGAACTCGGCCTTCGCCGGAATGGCTCTTTCCTTATGACCTCGAGTATTTTGCACAATTCACCTTGATTACGCGATACATGTGATGAATCTAAGTTTTACTTATCATTCACATAACGATTTATATAATTATTTTCCACGTTTTTAACGAAAGCCTATAGAGGCTTCTAATAGTCTTCAGCTATAGCTGGATATAATATAGGTAAAAGTTGACGGAATCACTAAGATAGTAAGAAGTTAGTTAGTAATAGATTTGAAAATTAAACTGAAAAGGGGATTCGTCTTGACTTCTACATCGTAGTAATTAAATATATAGTTAATGAAAGTATTTCACTGAAAACATAGTTTTAACTGTTTCAGATGTGAAATATATTAGATAATGTGGTGTATGTAAGTAACAACTTTTAACGAGTAAAAGTTTTTAAAATGCATTAAGTAAATATCATTAGCGTTTGAGCTCACAACGTTTGACAAGTATCAAAGTATTGGCTGTTGTTTTTACGAAAAAAAAAAAAATAAAAAAAAAAAAAAAAACCGTTTCAAACTAGTAATGTATTAGTTAATTTATTTTAAATTAAAATTAACAACCGCCTGACATTACGTTAATTCATTCCCTCGTTAAAAGTGTTTTTTATTAATAACATTTAACTTTAATAATTAAAACCAAATATTTTGTATTTATTACATTTATTTATTATTACAATTAGCTACATACTAAGTAAGTTATTTTTTAATTAAACCATTTAACGGTTTAAAACGCGAAATATATTAAACTTAAACTTAAACTCAAACTCAAACCATTATCACATGCATATTAGTTAATCTTATTTACAAGTCCATGATCACTTGAAGACCGTCTCCCCGTGACCACGTCTGCTGCAAAGCATCCGAAACACGTACTACTCGCGGTAACTATAGACAGTATTTAAAGTACAATTAACTGAATTTCCAATTGTCCGGTTTTTTATTCAGGTCCGCAGAAGACAACCTATTAACGGAGATAGAAGCAAATGTCCTATCCGAAATAAGATTTCTTCGGGTCCTACGTTTAGCTCGGAATCGACTGGGAAGTGTCCCCGAAGCGATAGCACACACCACGCGTTTGCAGGCACTGTGAGTATTAATCTTTTATTTTTATATTTAAAACAAAGTGGTATAAAGAGCCCACCAGAATATCGATATTGAGATTGACACTTACAATATAAATCAACATTATTCATTATCCCATACGTTCTCTACGTTGGGACTCTGGTTTTCTTTATAAGGTAAATAACACATATCGAAATTATATTTTAAACCTGTTAATATAATTATCATGGTGTAAGACCGAAAATCTAAATTCCGACCTAACAAACAGAAATTCGGAACATATTTAATTAGATCTACGTAGCTTTTAGTCGACTCCTTAGCCATCATAAAAAATGGGAGCTTTTGTGTCATACAAACGTGTTCCCAGGGTTCCCTTAAAGCACCGTAGCGGGTTGGTGGTGTGTTGAGTGGTTCTGGTCGGCTATTGTCTCCGTGGAGGTTGTAGTACGATTTGACACACTCCCCACGTCACACCATCAGTTAAAAGGCTATTATAAACAAGGGGGTAATTTTAATTACAAATAAAAAGTAGTATTTTTCCTACAAAATGTTTTGCAGTTTTGTTTATTCGAATAAAATAATGTTGATAATTGTTATTTAACACGTCTTTGTTTGGAAATGTAGTTCTAAAATTAGTTTAGCTGATCCAATAGGGCGATATAAGTGTTAAAAGAACGAAGACCAGAGGGAGACAAAGTTTAAAATGATAGGTCGTTAACCCTTTTGATGAAAAATCGCCTATTCACTGCCATCAGCGTCGATGGCTACGAGATAACGGGACATACGCAGATCTAGAATTTGTGGATAGGCCACATAGACGTCAAGTACCAACTTCAAATATATAGGAAAAATAATATTTTAAAAAAACGACTTTCATCAGTACAATACCTAATAAGAAAAATAAGTGTACCAAACAAAAGCTCCATAAAAGTAGTAGTTCTTTTCAAGGTAACTGCATACATACTTTAATAAAATCCCCAGCGAAGTGCAAACACTTCAATAAATAGGTTTAAATCTATTAAAACAAAAATTGCTTGAAAAGGGTTATTATCATGTTAATCAATATTTAAATATAAAAATGCTTGGGGTGTGGAGGAACCCCTCTTACAAGGAAAAATATGTTGTTACTAAAAGTAAATCAAGAATGTAAAATGAAACTTGGCGATAAAAGGAGTGACGGCGAGTTTATTGCCAGTTCTTCTCGTTGTTTACGCCCTTGATTTGAGAACTGGTAGTAAATGTAAAGTTAGATTCTATAATTATTTTGTGACGTTCATAAGTGTACATAGTTACCTACATGAATAAATGATTTTTGACTTTGACTTTGACTTTGACTTTGACTTTGACAGAACAAATGGCGCTAGCGTAGCAGTTTTTACTTTGGCGTCAGAGACACCCTCCATCTATAGTCTTCCCGGAACCACAGCTGATGCAAAGTATCCGAAGCATCGGGTCGTAGTTAAAATAATTTGCCAATAAGTTCAGCTAATATATATTGTGTTTTAAACCTTTGCAGTGTTTTATTTAAATGTATTGCGTAAACTACAGACAGTATTTAATGCAACTTAGCTTTGCCATTTTCGTAACGCTGTTTTGCTCTATTGGTACGACTACAAAGACTTGGTGGGGTCGAAGTTATTGGTTTAGCATTTTGGTACGTACTCTCCGGTGGGAAAAAACATTATTTGGAAACCGGTATGTCCCAAACCAAATTTCAACGACATGAGTCATCTGCCAAAACGCATTTGGCAGATATGTAGGAAGCATTATAGGATGTCACGAGAGAGAAAATTTTATTCGAGTAGGTATAATTATGTACTATGCTAAAATCTTTTAATCGTATTAGAGGATAAACACCTAATATCGTCTCACCGTGACCACGGCTGCTGCAAAGCATCTGAAACGTCGGGCCGAAGTTAAAAATAGTTTTCAAATAAGTTTAACTAATATATCGCGTTTTAAACCGTTAAAGTGTTTTATTTAAACCTAATATCTATTTTTCCAAAGCCGCTCTTAAGGAGCCTATTTTTATGACTTTCTTTCTTATTAATTTAGTAGCTATAGTATTAGTAGCCTTTCAAAATGCACAAATTATTTTAATCCTTAATTATTAAACCTTCAACATTTTAAATAAAATAGTCTCCTAACAAATGAATCTTGAAGCAAAAAATATGAAAAAGTTGGAATAAGCTACTGTCACTTCTAGATAATAAGTATATCTTTGTTGACCGCCCAACCGCCCAAACACCCACGCTGGCGACGATGTCATGCTGTCACATAAAAACCACTAAGGAGAAAAACGATGCACACTCTACACTTCAGCGGCCGCTCTGTAAAATAATTTTACTCTACGAATAATCTAATCTAAAAGTAACGAGTTTAATGATCTCTCAGTAGATCTTTTGGCCAAAATTTGTTTTCATGCTGCAAGGAAACCAAAATCCATTATCATCTGTGACATTAATCAACAGGATTATTCTACTGCATCATACTATTAAAGTTAGTAAACTACTAAGTTTTGATGAAACTAATTTAAATAGTTTTGTTTCTGTTATGTGTTAATCTAAAAATTTTAACTTGAGTGTGGCACCGCTGTCCACACTCTAAGGACTTAAAAAAAAATAGTTTTAGGGCAAAAAAAGGCCCTGTAAAAAAAGGGGGAAAATCCTTTCCCCCCCGCCCCCCCCAATTTTTCCTTTTTTTTTTTTTTTATTTTTTTTTTTAAAAAAAAAAATTTTTTTTTTTTTTTTTTTTTTTTTTTTAAAATAAAAATTTTTTTTTTTTTTTTTTAATATTTTTTTTTTTTTTTTTTTTTTTTTTTTTCACGAGCCGACATTTTCGACCTTTCCTTGCTATCATGCTAATAGGGTACAAAAATTCTCTTTTTAACCGCAATAATCGAAACCGGAAGTGAGAAGGCAAGGTCGTAAATGAATTTGCAATGAACGTCGCGCGCAAACTTCCGATCGCTCGGAATTATAAACGCGGGCTCCGTTATAAGAGCTTGGACGTTTCGCCAAGCCTTTGTCAATATATCCGTTGTAAAGATGTATTGTTTCTTTTATGAGTAGTTGTTACGAAATTACTATTTTGGTGATAGTCATTAATTGATACGAATTAATGAGATATGCAACAAAGAACCTAACAAGTTTTATTTGTTTTTTTTTCTTGTAAAAAAGAGATTCAGAGTAACTTAATCTATAGTAATATATAAAATTGAAATTTGTTTGTTTGTTAGGACGCGCTAATCTCAGAAACTACTGATTCAAATAGAAAAATTTATTCAGGTCTTGGTTAGAGCATTTAACGAGGAAAGCTATATGGGCTATCAAACAATCCGCTGCGATAAATAGGAACAAAACGACCAGCGGGAAATGTAAAAAAAAAAACCTATTATCTTTGTGGGATTCCGTTAGTGCACTGCAAAAACGGTTCAAGATCCCCAAAAATATCTATGGAAAGAATCATTACTGCTTAAATGATCTAAAAAAATCTTTATATGTCTATCACATCTTAAATTTATAAAGATGAAAAGATGATCTGCAAAAACAAACATTGATGGCCCCAAAGTAACTATTAGGTACGCGGACGAGCAGTCAGTGACACAGCTAGTCATCACATATACCGCTGCAATATTTTTTAAGTATATAATTAACACAACTATGACAAAATCTATCCATTTTTTTACTCTTCGCGAAAATTCGGTTCAACGAATACACAACATTTTTATCTTACACTAAAATATTGAAGCATAACCTCTGACCTATACCTTTGCTATCACAGTTTATTTAAAGCTAAGGAATACGGAAGCTTCGCGCGGTCAATACTCCTTGAGAAAGTGCAACGTCAGTGGCATGCGGTCACAGATAAGGCAGTGGTCTCCTATAAAGGATTGAAATATGACAGTGAAGGTGTTTGGTAGAAGCTGTTACCAGATTTCAAACATTTAGTTTTGTGATATATTGTATGTGAAGTTTATCACGTTTGACGGTTTATGTCACTTGGCTCATTGGTCCAATATTGAAAGTCAATTATAGCTTACAATCAGCGGGTCGTGGGTTAGATGCCCATAGCCGGGACCAACGTTTCCAAATTCTATGAATTTTTCTGAACTCCGCCACGAACCATCCTCCACAGACAAAAAACCGTGACACTTTAATCACGTTTCGCTTAGAGACAGTGGATTTCCCAGTTTTCAAAGTCATAGTACTTCGACAGCGAATCTTGTGTGATGCTATAGGCTCTGAGTATTCACCGCTTCATAACTCCAAGCTTGACTCCTCTATCATTAAAACACCTTCACAAATTCGTCGAACACTATTAAGATCTTAAAAATATGCACCGTGACACGACGTAACGCACCTGACGCTGAACTTGCGACGTTAAAAGGAGACCACAGCTTAATGCAATACTCAGATAACAATGTAGGTCACGTTGTATTTCGTGCGCGTATACAAGTGGTCACCATTTAAGACTCAAGAGGGTCTTTCTTGTTATCATTTTGGCGTTATTTAATAGTATTGAATGAGAAGTTTTTGAGGGCCAAAGGAATTTGACAAAAACTATCTAAAAAGCAATTTATAAGAATTTCGACATTTAGAAGATTCCTGACTCTTCTACGCTTAAAGCTGGTTTTAAAGCACTCATACGCAGTTACATGTCACAATTATAAAGTTAACTTTTAATATGATGTTACAACACAGTAGTGATATTCATAGTGTTATTATATCGTCATACATTGTTCCCACCACTGAAACTCGAACCCTCTATCTATCACGATGGCTAAATGCGTCACCAATTACATCGATTTTCTTTACCCTAAGACGTGTGGCTTTCCAAAATGTCTAATTGGATACAATTGTGTTGCACTCCCAAGATTTGAACCTCATTTTTTTGTTCCTTATGAATAATTATTCTATATTTAAATAAAAAATATATTCAAATCGAACGGGCGGGACTTGAAACGGCATCTCGAGCATGCCGTGCTACTGTTCCAACCAATTGACCGTGTCAACGTCGTTTTTATTCAACCCATTGATACGTGCAACTCTCGCGCAATATCTCTCGTCTCTGTTGTGTATCTCTCGTATTTAAAAATCTTAATCTCTTTATAATCGTTCGCTTGTTTCAGGAACCTCGCTGGTAACTTAATCACAGAACTGACGGAAACGTCGCTTCCATCACTACCCGTGCTTCACACTCTGTAAGTTTTAAAAGGATTTACATAGTATTAAACTTAACACTTTTAACGTTCCGAGTATACTGTAAAGCAACCGAATAATAAAAATAAAGTAAAATTAAATTTAATCCGAAGCAGCACGAATTTTCCACACTAAACTTTTTGCCACCAAAACTATAATTAATTATTATTATTAATTTATTCAAAGAGTAAGACTGTGTATTAAAATCAAAATTACGCACATCCTTGCTATAAAGATAAATAAGATATAAAAAAATATATTATAATAATGTAGAAGTAATCTTGAATGCGTGATCGAATAACAATATTATAAACAGACAAAATCATTATAAAGAATTTCGAATCTACACGGTTTGAACCGTTAAAACTGTTTTTTTTAGAACCTACACCCACACACAACATATAAAGGTTTCTACTACTTGATATCGGCATATATGCCTTCTACATAACAGCATCTTAAAGAAACTATTTTGATCGAGAAAGTAAATGTAAGATCGCATATACAAATATTATGTTATAAATGGATGCATAGAAATTATTTTGCGTTTCGTATTATATGCAAAATACGGTTAGGTAAGATTACATATCTATATCTATATTAATAATAAGCTGAAGAGAGGTTTGTTTGTATGTTTGAAAGCGCCACGCGCCTATCTCAGGAACTACTGATTCGAATTGAATTGTTTCTTGTTGTTTATTTCTTTTCGTGTTGGTTAGAACATTTATTGAGGAAGATGGATATCAGGATCAGCCAATCATATAGGCTATAAAACATAGCGCTGTGACTAATAGGAACGAAGAAACAGCAGGAAATATCGAAAACACGGGGAAAATATTCATCGTTGTGGGTTTCCGTTGCGTACGCTGCTAAAACGGTTCTTTTACTCAATAAATATGTAGGAAATAATAATTTCTCTTTAAGTGATCTAAAAAAAGTCCATGACAGTATATGTCTATCTTTTAAGGTTAACTGGGAAGAACGACAGGACGCGGACGACGTCGTGGGTAACAGCTTAATTTTATAGAGTAGAATAGGAGGATTGCAAAAAAAATGATACCCAAAATAATTATTATACTCGTACGAAGTCGCTGACGCAGCTAGTTACTTATACAACTCATATGAAAAATATTGTTCAACCTTTAAGTATATTTTAAGTAACCTCTAAGTAACTAAAACACTTGAATCGTTAATTTTTATTAACATATGGCGACAATTAGCAATCCTGGATTTGAATTTCACCTGTTTGTAATTAAAAATACATCTTTCGTCTTCTCGATAGCATACTTAAATTTCAAAATTTTTTATAGCCTTGTATGGGTATACCTATAGCAATACGCCTACAAGATCGGGTCGATTAGATTGTAAGTAATTGTTTAAACAAAACAAGATTACATTAGATTGAGGCGTGAGTCGTGAGTCGAACTCTCGTTTGTCATGTATTGAGCTTGAAGGCTAGCGGGTCGCAGAGTTGCACTCGGCCAGAGGTGCTCAAACTACACGTATGTGCATTAAATCTAACTACTAACACTATGAAAGCAATTAGTTTGACCATGATTTCGCGGATAAGAAAACAAAAAGAAATTGTATCAGGTAGGACTTTTATAATGTACAGTAACTAAAAAGATCTTTACGTTATTGGGTACTGAAATAACAATTAAATATTATAAATGTCATGTGTTGTTTTTATTTTTTTATGCATTTTTTAATCTTTAAAGTTTATCTATAACTGATGTGAGATAACACTAGAACCGAAAAAACAGAGGAATATGAAAAAAAAACGGAAAAAATTATACCTCTTTTCGTGTACCGCGAAAATAATTCAACACCCTCAAAAGTAGGAATAGGAAAGAATGAAACCCCTTAAATAATTAAAAAATATCTGTGAAGGATTTGTCTATCTATTAAGACTAACTTGCAAGAACGACGGGACATGAACTCCGTCGTGGGTAACAGCTAAAATTTTTGATTTTGGAGAAGGGTTGCAAAAACTATATTTTATGCCCAGAATAACTATACTATGCGGACGACGACGCTGGTACAACCAGTAACTGATATGAGACTTAAAAGCGAAACAAATGGAATATACTAGACAATACGTATGAATAGTTTGGGAAACACTGCTACTCGTATCTAATGAGCGTATGATCTGACACAAATACCATTGATATGTGATGCTTTTTGTTCCTTTCGTTTGGTGTTTGAATAAGCCCTGCTGACATTACAAACGTTGTTTTGTTGTTTGCAATATTAGTATTATTAAAAATATACTTAATCCAATATGGGCATATGGAATGCAGTTATGGGGTACAGCCAGTCGCTCCAACATCACCATAATACAAAGAAGAGCACATACAATCACAATTTAAATCAAGAAGATGAGATAATCATAAAAGATTTAATAAGTTATAAGTCCCTAAAGCATTCGTCGCCAAGAAGCGTGACATCTTTGACCAGTAAGAAAGCAACAGGTTAAAACAAATTAAGGGAACATACTGCGCTGGCGGTACCCCTGACCTGCAAAATAACTTCATCACAATTGCTTATAGTTATGATGACTGATCGCATATTATGAAACGGAAAAAAAATATATACTTAAATATATAACTTTACCAAATATATTAATTATAACCGTTTATAATGTATTAATATAAGTTAATTTGATTGCCCGTAAAGATGATTAATTTTCCACATTGACAGTGGACAAAGTGGAAATTTCTTCGCTCCTAATGGTAGTTATTATATAGCCTAAAGCCTCCATCGATATATGATGGTATTTTTCAGTTAGAACCAGTACTTCCTGAGATTGCGTTTAAACAAATAAAAAAATCTTCAGATTTATAATATAAGTATAGATTTGACGGCGTAGATGCTAAGTATGGCAGAAGGACAAATAATGGATAATAAATATTTGTCGAGTCTCTTTTATAGACACAATCTAAGTTAATACGTCTACCATTGTTACCGCAGACTCAATAGCCCGCAACCGTTAGTAACAGGGCAATAAAGGGGGAATGACCGATAAGACCAAGGACATAAATATCCATGGAAATGATGGAAATTATTCGCAAAGATGTTTGTTTGCCGAGAGTTAAGCTTATCTGTGGAATTTCCTTCTACGTATTCGCTAAGATGCTACACAATTTCGATCGGTTTAAATTTGTGGTTCTGTAGAATGAAAAAACATAAACCAAAATCAAAAATAAATTGAAAAAATACTATAATAATAGGACTCGGTAGCTCCATCGGTTAGAGCAGTAGTACGGAGGGCCGTTCAAGTCCTGCCTGTGTCGTAAAATTTTCATTTTTTAATTTACACAGTACCATCGTGTGAAATAACACGTGGAAAATATTAAAGCTTTTAAATGAGTGAAACATATTCTTGACGACAGTTGCGATGGGAAATGTTATTAAGTCGATAGCACTTAGTGAAAATTTGCGCCATTTCTACTGATTGGCCATTGCATGCACTTCACAGTTTGACATTTTGATGGAAAACATATATTTCAGCATGTATACATAATGAGATTTTTAAAGGAAGTAATTAAGCCATACAATATACAGCTTGAAAAGTAAATACAATCTTCCGAAGTTTCATACATTTTTTGTTCTTTCTTCTTAAACGGTGTATCTAACAATAACTCAATAAAATCTACCCTTTCTTATGGCTTTCCTGCTGGCTAAAGAAATACTACTCGACGTTTTGGATGCTTAGCAGCAACCATTATCGCGGGGGACTATTTTCCTATTTAAGTCGTTAGTGTTTTATTTATGTGCACTACTCGCGTAAACTATAGACAATGCGTGAATAGCGTCTTGTTTGTCTATGGTTATTAAAATTGTTACAAATATTTGAAGAAGTGAACGACGTATTAGTAATACGTTTTATTGTAAAGGTACTAAAATTGCGAAGGAAGTGGCAATTACTTACTCGATCCTCAATTTAACGAAAGACCTTACAGACGCTTAATGCCCTCCGATTACGTTTCGAGACGAAACACATTAATATGGTGGAGCACAATAAAATCTCAATTCATTTAATTACTTAATTGTGCTATAAATTAAAATGAATTCTCACGTGTTGTACGAATCCCTTGCGTTTTGATTAAATAAAGCAGACTGGAAAACTACTTGCTGGTAAATAAGACGCGACGGAATTTTCTTAAGGGCTCGTCCTGTACAACGGGAGATAGCGGTGTTAGAATAAACCATAGGTATTAATACTAGTACACATATATTAAAATGAAATATTTAGTTCGGTTAAATATCTTTTTGCTTTGTTTAAGTATCTTGTTCAACTCAGCTGTTGTCGTAGCATCGGATTTTTTCCATCTAAATAATAATAGTACAAATATTTCATTATCTAATCCTTCCTTACTAATATTATAAATGCGAAAGTAACTCTGTCTGTCTGCCTGTTACTCTTTCACGTCAAAACTACTAAACGCATTTGAATGAAATTTGGTACACATATTGTCTAGACCCTGAGAAAGGGTATATGCGTTTATTGCGAAAAGGGGGTTGTAAGGGGTTAAAAGGGGGGTGAAAGTTTGTATGGACATTCGAGGTTTTTGAAGCTAGAACAATAAAACTTTCTTCTTTGGCTTTTTGGGAATAGGAGTGGGAGTGGGAGTGGGAGTTAGAGTAGGAGTGATGTGAGGTGAAAGGCAAAGTAGCACTTACAAAATAGATTGGCTGAGATAAATGCGCAATTACATAAATTAATAAACAGCCTAAATAATTAAAAATTCTACCCCAAGTCACTATTCCAGTCACCATTTTAATCACGTTTTTTTGCTAAAATTCCTAATACACATGGGAGATTATTTAAGTTAACAGAATAAAGTAGGCTTTGCCTTTAAATAAAAGTTATTGTTATATAATGCAGATCAACGATGCTTGCCAATATCACTATAGTCATATAGACTTTATTTTATTTTCTATCGGGGACACCTTTGGCAGGACGGGTGATCAGTTCACGTTGTCCGCTGACCATTTCACCCAT